ATCTTTTTCAGTCTTGGAAATTCCAGAAGAAATCTACTTTGCTGTTAAGAAGTAGGAAACATTTTCTGCCTTCACACTAGTAAATAGGACTACAAAAGCAAGGAGAAACAGCAAAAATAACAAAATGTGTGATAAGAACTAGTTTTTAAAGAAAATAATAACAAACAAATTATTATTTCACCATTAAATCATTTCGGAGAGAAAAAAACTTGAGTGTTTCTACTCAAAACAAGAAAACTTTTTATAATGTATATAAAATAGGAACACATTTCAAAACAAACGGAACAGGAATTTCACTGATAATTACTAAAAGTCTACAAGATTTATTTTCTTTATTTGCCCACCCCTTTTCCACCACCTATTTTCATCTCTTACAAGTTGTCACGGAGTTGACATAGAACCATGACCCAAGTCTTACCTGGATCTGAGCTACCTGTTCCTAGCTGTGCACATGCGTTATCGTTTTCTTGTAAGGCTTTTTTGAAGTAAAAAATTCCTAAATTGTGCTTTCCCATTGCAAAGTGGATGCAGCCAAGATTGTTCCAAAACATGCACCATAAGCATTCACCTGAGGGAACAGAAAAGACTACTTTTATAAACTGAAAAAAGTCACTGAGTTGACAAAACATTCCCACCACTCTCATGGGTCAGCAAGATGTTCAAGGATTATGAAGTTACGTCACTGCCTCCAGTATTTTAACAACCTGCCTTTCTGTTTATCATTCTGTTTCTCCTGGACACTTTGCCCAAAGTGATCCATGGGTAAAGACCAAAGACTTTCAGATCTTATGCACCATGTTCCAAGACACCCAGGTAGAAAGCTAATTTGACATACTGCAACTTGAAGCAAGTTTATCTGTAATTTTTCATAGTATTTAGAGTATATAAACATTTCTCTTTTTCCAACAGATGGCTCTTGTAAAAAGGAAATTCTTTAATGACATTATCTACCTCAGTTTTATAAAATAAACAAACTTGTTAACCTCACCATTCAAGGAGGAAACATACTCTCCTTCAGAAATATATCATGTTCAGACTAACACTGGAAGAAGCTTCTTCCACACAATGGCAAAAAAAAACAAGTGTTTGACTTATCTGCTGATAACTGAAGCTTTACCGAGATACCACTATTTAAAAAATAATCACCAATAAAATCATAGCACTAAAAAAAAAAAATAAGAAAATAATAAAAAAATATATCAAAGCAACCAAAAACCAGAACATTTTTGAACAAATTAGCCTGATGTTATTTTAATCATAACGTGGGAAGACAACTAAGTGAACATTCTACTGTTGCTTGTGTAAAAAAATGTAATTTGAAAATAAAACTTTTTATGAATGGCACAGAAGGACTTTCAGGAATCCATTTTCTCAGTCGCTATGTTGTCTAAATGACCATTCAATGAAAGCCACAGCATTGTTAATTGAAGGAGTGCAGCAATGAAGCGGAACACGTACTCGATATAAATCCATGATGCTTATGGCCTGCTGCTTTAAGTAATCCTTCATGTCTTTAAAGTTAGTATCAATGAGTAGTCCTGTTTGTACCACATACATAAGTACTCGCAGGATGAAAGCTTTCTATTTTATTTTACCTGTTTTCATGAAGCCTGGATGTTCAGCAATGTTTGCACTGTTTAAAAGTTTGACTGCTTTACGGTAATTGCCCCTCAAATATTCAAAGTTGCTCTTAAGAAAGAGAGAAGGAGCTGACTGTAAAGAAGAAAACAACAGTTAATTATCTTTTTTTTTTTTCTTTTTAATGATTGCTCACAGAATCACAGAATCACCCGGGTTGGAAGGGACCTCAAGGATCATGTAGTTCCAACCCCCCTGCCTAGCAGGGCCACCAAACACACACATTCAGATCAGGTTGCCCAGGACCCCGTCCAACCTGGCCTTGAACACATCTAAGGACGGGGCATCCACAACCTCCCTGGGCAGCCCGTTCCAGGGCCTAACCACTCTCCTTGTAAAGAACTTCCCCCTAACGTCCAACCTAAATCTTCCCTCCCTCAGCTTGGATCCATTTCCCCTAGTCCTGCTGTTGTCAGCCCTTTTGAAGAGTTTACTCCCCTCCTGGGTGTAGGTTCCCTTCAGGTATTGATAGGCTGCAATGAGGTCACCCCGCAGCCTTCTCTTCTCCAGGCTGAACAAGCCCAACTCCCTCAGCCTGTCCTCATAGGGGAGGTGCTCCAGCCCCCTGATCATCTTAGTCGCCCTCCTCTGGACCCTTTCCAAAATCTCAATGTCTTTCTTGTACTGAGGGCTCCACACCTGGACACAGTACTCCAGATGGGGCCTCACAAGAGCCGAGTAGAGAGGGACAATCACCTCCCTGTCCCTGCTGACCACCCCTCTCCTGATGGAGCCCAGGATCCCATTTGCCTTTCGAGCTGCCAGAGCGCACTGCTGGCTCATGTTCAGTCTCTCGTCCATCAGGACCCCCAGGTCCTTCTCTGCCGAGCTGCTCTCAAGGACCACTCCTCCCAGCCTGTACGGGTGCCTGGGGTTCTTCCGGCCCAAATGCAAAACCTTGCACTTTGCCGTGTTGAACCTCATTAGGTTCACCCGAGCCCAGCCCTCCAGCCTGTCGAGGTCCCTCTGAATGGCATCCCTTCCTTCCACCGTATCAACAGCACCACTCAGCTTGGTGTCGTCAGCAAACTTGCTGAGGGTGCACTCAATTCCCTCATCGATGTCATTAATAAAGATGTTAAAGAGCACCGGTCCCAAGACAGACCCTTGGGGGACACCACTTGTTACCGGCCTCCACCTGGACATAGAGCCATTGACCACCACCCTCTGTCTGCGGCCTTTCAACCAATTGCTTATCCATCGGGTCGTCCACCCATCAAATCCACTTCCCTCCAATTTGGAGATGAGGATGTGGTGGGGGACCATGTCAAAGGCCTTGCTCAGGTCCAGGTAAATGACATCGGTTGCCTTCCCTTTGTCCACCAATGCTGTCACTCCATCATAGAAGGCCACAAGATTGCTCATGCTAGATCAGCTTGCCCCTGCTGCCATTTTAAGAATACATGGGCTTAGCCTCCAATGATTTCATGAAGTAACATTTCTTTGAATACTCAACCTCTCCTGAAATGCAGAACTAGTTATTTTGTTTGGTTTCTGCTTCAAAACCAAATATTATGCTCAAGAGCTCTGTCACAGCAGTGGCAAAGTACAGAGGATCTCCCTTTTGCTTTAAGAGGCTCTTTCTCCAACCTGCCTTCTAATACACTCCCCTCATACTTCCCTCCCTGTGGAGCTCAACAGCTTCCTCCTGAGCTGATTCTCCTGGCCTGCCAAAAGACACATCATGACCCAGAAAGACTTCTATCAAACCAGCACCTGTTGAGACTGGCAACAAAATGCAAGTGCTCTCCTCCTACTACCTGATCCTCAGTTAATGCAGAACATACATGGCATGGTGGACACAATGCTGAGTTGAGAACTCCTATACAAAAGAAGAAACTGCTTTCTAGCAAGAGATAAGCCTCCAAAACAACTTCAACAATTACAAAAGAAAAAAGACAACACACAAAACCCCCAAATATTGAAAACCCCCAAATTAATCTTGCTAAAGTGGTTTTACTCAGCAGTGACATCAGAAAATTTTATTTTCCAGAGCATTTATGCTCTGGGAACTAGCAACTATAACTTGCTTTGCACTGCTCAAATTATAAACCGTATTTAACCAGTTTATTGTACACAGCATTTCATTGTTTGTTTGGTTTTTTTATACTGTTAACAACAATGTGCAACTTCCTGAGCAATTTAAAGTCCTATATTAAATACACTTAGAGAAAAGAGATTACAAACCCAACTGATTGCATACAGCACTATTTCAGACATCCATCCTCAGGAAGACCTTTCCTTGTAAAGTAAGTTACCAAATCCAGTTTTAAGATAGGGAACAGACCTAGATTACAAAAACAATAGCTTTAAGAATACTTACATTTCCAGCTGTATTCACAACAGACTTGATCTCCCTTTTGCATGCTTTTAGTGACTTCATCTGGATATAGGCTCTCACCTTATACTGTTTAAAATTAAATTTGTTATATTAGAAACAGTAACTTGTGCAGGTTTGCAAGATGGACCATGCCTAGAGATTTATGATAAAACTTCCTACATTGTAAAATAGGTAGTAAAAAGCTGATCACAAAGTCCTTCCAAGGAAGAATTTCTATTCAGAGTATCAGCAACAAATTCATAGAGTTCATATTTACAAGAGGCAAACGTGCATTTTGTTCAATGGCCGACATTCAACAGCTCTACATTCAAATGCCAAAACATCAGCACATAAAACAACAAATTAACTACAATAATTTAACGTGTGAATTCCAGACATTTACCTGTTCAACTGACAACACCAGTAAGTGAAAGGTGATTGTGAAGCATTTTGTTTCTTCACCCAAAGAGCAGTACTGGGAAATAAAACCTCAGTGATTTAAACTGTCTTGCAGTCAAACAGACATAAGATTATCAGAGCTAAATGCAATTTAACAAAATTATTTTAAGACATAGGGACTGAAATTGGAATTTTTTTAGGTCAGTTTCTCCTGGACACGAATCTTAAGAGAGGAAAAGGTCAGTTAAATCCATTTTTCTGATCTACAAAATGAAATTTAAGGTGACAATAT